AATCAGGAAACACCAAGCCCACCATCCTTAATTCTTCAGATCACAACTTCTCCACGATAACAGAAATGAATGGATTAAGACGAAATCTTACCCCAGATATCGCAACAGCTTAAAGCTAAGCCGAGTAACCAAAAAAGTGTCAGAGGCGGCTCTCCCCACATCCTGCCGGAAAGACGGCCGGCGGCCTGCGGTGATCGGGACTACGGATATATCCAGAATGGAGTTGTCGCTGGCCACGCGACGCCGCCTCTTCTGCTGGGCCGAACTCGATTTGGCGGAGGTTGCCTCCGTGTAACTCGAGGTCCTCGCGATAAAGGGCCTCGTCTCGTTCTCCTCGAAGGACGAATCCACCAGCATCCTCGCCGCCGCCGCAGCCCCCAGATCGTCCACAGACCTGATCATAATCGTGGGCGAGGCTGATCCAGTTTTGATGTTCGGGGAAGACGATGAAGATGAGGAGGATGAGGATGGTGATTGGGTGTGGGGATTGGACACAGGAAGCAGATGTGATTGCATATCTGGTAAGCCCATTTATATATATATGAGAAGGATTTGAGCTGGGCGATAATGGCGGAGAGAAAGGAAAAAGAGAGATGCAAATCAATAGAAAATGGTTTAAAATTTGGGAACAATTTGGATTTTGCAGAGCAGTTCGAAATTTGGGGCTGGTGGGGATGGTGATTGGTTGGACGAGGTGAATAGGGTGGCCCACAGTCTTGTGTGTGCCACGTGTTGTCATGTGATAAGCTGGCTTGGGGGCATACAGTGGAACAGTAATGACTTTGGCTGGACACTGCATGGCATGCCTACAATGTGTATAAAAAAAAGCTCTCACTAAAGGTTGGAGATAAGAACCTCTCACTTTTTTTTGCTTCTTGGTGCCTTACAAAATCAAGACTTCTACATTTTTGATTTAGTCCTACTCTTGTTGATTTCTTGTTTCCGATTGAGAAATCTCTGTTCAGTTCACATCTATGTACTTATTTTTCTTTTTTCTGTGCATGATTTCACTATTTTGAGCTAGTAGGATTGTATTAAATCTGTAGAAAATCGAGAGGACATGGGCAAGCAAAAGAAGAAGCCCGTCTTTGAGAGGTTAGCCATCAACAACGCCATTGTTCTGGACTCATTAGAGGAAGAACCAGAGCTGACCGACTTACATGCTAAACTGAGGAAAACCAGCGTTGAGCAAACCGAACCTTCAAAAACAATAGAAGCTTGTACAACAACGACGAAAGGTAATGTCTTACACATTGATGGTACGACATTATTCCCCAACTTGAATGTTGGATAAACTGCTAGAAACCAGAACCCACAGAAGCAAATTGCGAAAGTTGTCGACAATGTTCGACGAAAAGCTAGAAAGAGAAACAACTGGATACAATAGGTCTTTTGTTGAGTTTTTTGAGAACCACAATCCCACTAATGGCCTCAATGTCCTACACAACTCCTGAGAGAGGAAGTTATCTTATAGGATGAGGACATAAATGATATTACTAAAAGAATGGGTATTGCCTCTTCGGCTACTTCACCCACAGACACGCGGGTAAGGAGGGCGCTTCTAAAAATTTGCAATTCTTGGAATGTGCAATATGTTATATCTTGAGTGTCAACAGATGGATAGTCTTCAAATTCTCAAGCACGGAAGACAAAGAAAATGTTCTATATGAAGACCCTTACTCAGTCTATGGGCATGGGTTGCTCTCAAAATTGCTACCGAACTAGTTTTGATATGGGGAATATGATACCAAAATTGTGCTTGAGTTGGAGGAGATACTGGATTCTACTTCTCAACATAATACGCGGGCCGTCGAGAAGTCACCAAAAAGGGCTAGAGAAAATACATCTGTGGTATGAAATAATTTTAAAGAGCCTATTAATGGGTAGGGTGAAATGCAAATCTTGTTCAAAAGATGATGCTTGGAATGGTTCTAACTATGGTACTTCAACTCTTACCCGTCATATGAATAAATGTAAAGGTTTTCATAGTCCCAAGTTTGATCATGTGGGTAATATGATGATAAATGTTGAAGGATAATTGAGGTCTACGAAGATTGATCCTAAGAATGCACGTTTGCTTTTATCGAAGGCAATTATTTCACATGATCTACCACTCTCATTTGTTGAATACAAATGGATAAGGAAGTTAATAAACTACTTGAATCTTGATGCTAAAAATATTAGTAGGTTGACAACTACTTCTTATATATTCAAGTTATGTTCCACTGAAAAAGAGAAGATGAAAACTATAATGCTTGCTAGTCCTAGTAGAATTTGTTTGACAACTGATTATTGGATAGATTGTATGTTTGATGGCTCATTTTGTTGATTCTAGTTAGAAATTGAATAGTAAGATTCTATCTTTTTATAAGATTGTGTCTCCGCATTCTGGGTTTGATTTGGCAAAAGGATGTGTGATTGCTTAAAAGAGTGGGGCATTGACAAAAAGATATGTTTTCTTACTTTGGATAATGCTAAAACTAATAATGCTATGAATGCTATCTTGATAGTCGTTGCAAGATAGTCTTTTATGTGGGAGTAAGTTTTTTTCATATAGATATTGCGCTCATATCATGAATCTCATTGTTAAAGATAGTTTGAAGGTGGCAAATGGAGCTTTAAGCAAAACTAGAGATAGTATCAAGTATGTGAAGGCATCAGAGGCTAAGATGAAAACCTTTCTTGAATGTGTTAGTCAAGTTGGTGGTATTGATACTAATGTTGGCTTACGCTTAGATGTGTCCACTAGATAGAATTCTACTTAGATCATGCTTGAAAGTGCAATTAAGTACAAGCGTGTTTTTAGTAGTCTTCAGTTGATTGATAGAAACTACAAGTTTGCTCCAACAAATGAAGAGTGGATAAAAGGAGAAAAAATGTGTGAGTTCTTGCGCCCGTTTATGTGATCAACAACTTGATTTCTTGGTCATCTTTTCCAATATAAGAAATGGGGTAAAACAGGTATGTTTCACGCAGATGAAGCGCACCAACAGGGAAAGCCCAGATGAAGCCAACTGAGGTTCCATCCCAAAACCAATTAGTGAAAGAAGGAGTAGCCCACTAGACTAATAAGTTAGGCCTATTATTCCTGTATAAACAATGTGGGACAAGTCATAAGTGATATTCTAACACGTCCACTCACTTGTGAGTCCTTCATACGAAAGCCCAAGCCCATATAGGGAGCCGGGAGCCCAAGCCTAACTGAGCCAGGAAAACGGGTACGTCATTGTCAGGTTCCACATAGAACCAGCTCTGATTCCATCTAAGAATCGGGGGTAGAAACGGGTGCGGTTCCACGCAGATGAAGCGCGTCATAACAGGAAAAGCCCAGATGAAGCCCAAGTGAGGTTTCATCCCAAAATCAATTGGTGAAATGAGGAGTAGCCCACTATACTTATAAGTTAGGCCTATTTTTCCTTTATAAAAGATGTGGGATAACTCACAAGTGATATTCTAACATCCAACTTCAAACTTGTATTTCATGCAAGTGTGGAAAATAGTATTTTTTGAAAGCAAATATGGAGAGTGAAGATGAGGAAATTCGAAAAGCTTCTTTTGAAATGAAATAAAATTTTGATAAGCATTGGAAAGAGTACAACATAGTGCTTTCTTATGGGGCTTTACTTGATCCTAGAGCAAAGTGGGGATGGTAAAATAATGTTTCTCTCAACTCGATCATATACTTGCGAAGGAAAAAATTTTGCTATCAGAAGAAACTTGCAAATGCTTTCTGGTGATTATGTGAAGTTGATGCTCACAAACCAATTGAAAGTAGCTCCCAAAGCTCTTCAAATGTCATTACAGAAACAACAAGTGACAATGAAAATGCGCCTTTTGTTGATATTAACTTGTATGATGAAAGTAATTATTTTCTTTCAATTTTTTTTCATTATTTCAATTATTCATTTCTGTTTGTAACCTTGATTGTCTTATTATTATCAAATTATATTCGTCTCACATTTTTGTTTAGGTCAAGCAAGATTGGCAGAGCAAAATACCAAATAGTCAAAATAAATATTCCGAATTGGATCAATATTTTGATGAGTCTACACTTAAATTCAAGTATCACCCAAATTTATGTTTTGGAGTTTTGGAAAAGTAAGGCGGATCGATGGCCATGACTAGTACTTATGGCTTGTGATACATTAAGTATTCCTATCACCACTATGGCGTCTGATTCTGTATTTTCCATTTAGCATAGGAGGTCGTGTCCTCACCAAATAGGAGTCGTCTTCTTGGTAATCATGTGTAAGCTCTACTTTGTACTTGTAATTGGTTGTAGGGCTTTCATGAAGGTAACACTTTTTTAATTTTAATTTGCTATTGGACTAAAAACTTGTTGACATCCGAGTTCGCCCCGTAAGGGAACCGGACAAGGGGTAACTCCCAAAAGCCGAACCGACTCCCAAAGCCAGAAGGGAACCGGACAAGGGGTAACTCCCGAAAGTGCCGAGTTGAATTCTGGATTTAATTGACCCTGACATCCCCACGGGTCCATCCACGAGACCGGCGTTTGTGCCGTTCAGACATCGGTGCCGATCTAAAGTAGGTGACGGGCTGAAGTAAGGTTCAGGAGGGCCGGAAGAGTGGAATGAGTTCGGGAGCCGACCTGAAATCTCAGGGTGGATGCCTCAAAAGCCGGCGCGGGGCCCGATAATAGTATAATAGTGTCACTTTGAGAGTAATCATTGATGATTGGACATGGTGTCATAACCTGCAGGACTAAATCCACTAGACAAGACATAAAGCTGGACAGCATTAAATGACCCCCATGTGTGCATTAAATGCCTGACAAACAATGATGAGGAAAACCTCAAATCGCATTTAATATCTGTCAGGGAGACGCCGAACTGCTCTGCCAGAGTGTTGTACGACAAGACCGGTGAACAGTGTTTGAACAGTGCCACATTTAAAGCCACTATAAATAGCAGCCCGTCTCATTTATTTCTGGGTTGTTGAATCTCCAACTTTCAGACTCTCTCTCTATTTTCTCTCTCTAGACTTGTAATAAACCCCTGTAAGAATTGTAAAGATATGACAAGTGCCGACCTCGCACGAGAGGCCGACCTGGTGATCTGACAATAAAATCGCAATTAAACCACGTCTCTTTGTCATTTTCTCATCTTTTATTCCTTTTACTTATTTCTTTAACCGTTGACTGGAAACGCCCGTCAACAAAACTTATGTACATAATGTCCCAATAATTCCCTTCTTTTTGTTGGATGACTAATGTGCAATGGATATTACATGTCTAAATTGAGTTTACCATAAAATTTCATGATTTTTTGTTCAAATTTTCTAATGATATATGTATGAGTAAGGCGGCAACTTTCCAAAAAGTTTGAATTCGACAATTTTTCGATTGGAGACTTATTATAAAAAATCATGCTTGCACGCTTTAGAATGATCTTTGTTTATCAATAATATTATTATTATTTTTATTTTCTAATTTCAGGTGAAGATGAATGGGAAGATGATGTTTTGGCCAAAGTGGAACTAAACATAATTGATTATGATGCTTAAGCTCCAGTTTCAACTTTTTAATTAGGAACTCTTAAACTAGTTGTGTCACGTTCACGTACTTTGGCGGCTTTTGTGTTCTTTATGTGTGTTCGCTAATTATTTTCGCTATCCGCAAATGTATGACGTAGCTATAGGTAGTGGCAATCAAGGTCGTATTTTACAGAGATTATAGTTAAATTAATTAAGTACTATAATCGTAACAATTAAATATTATCTAGACTAATGAATTGGACGATAATTATGAACTAAGAACCTAAGACCTAATTTATCTAAGATAATAAAATAAATCAAGATGTAAAAGATAGATTCTAGGCTAAACGTTCCTCGAAATTAATTTATAACACATTTTAATTCATACAAACTTTATTTAATTTTACAAATCGTAGAAATAATCACTAAATTAATTTAACCTTTCTCTCAAACAAGTTAAATTGTAGAGTAATTGTTATCTATCTACTCTCGGTCTCAAGATTTTTGTTCTCTCCTATCAACCTCTCGATCTGTTTTTTCTCTTACATTATAAATTTCTCAATTCTAACAATCAATTATCTCCCATCGGTCTCAAATCAATCACAAATATGCATTCATAGCGGCCGTCTACTCATGCAATCAAAACAAGCACAAGATTTAAATTAATTCGAGTACTAACAAATCCTAGAATCTAAGATAAAACTAGCCTAGAAACATGCTTCCAAAATCAGGAAAATAATTACAAAACATTGAGTTTGAAAAGCAAAATGAAAAAGAAAGAAAAAACTTATTTGGCTCCGTCGATCTCTTCTTCTTGACTTTCTCGCTCGTCTTGCACGTGTTTTTACCTCAAAAAATCTGAAAATCTCCCCTAGACTCCTTTAAAAACGTGTTCAAGTGTTGTTTAAATAGTCGGGGTCGAGTCGTAGTCGAAATAGGTCGAAAAAACCCGTAAAAATAGGAAAAACGCGTCAAACCCATGTATGTTGTGCCCAGGTACACACGAGTCGTGTGGCAATGTCACACGGGCCGTGTAAAAAAGTCGAGAGCACGTGTCGGACCCATTTCATGAGGCACGACCCGTGTTGTACTTCACACGAGTCATGTGCGACCTGGGAGCCTAAAACAGTGTAAAATCGTCATTTTCAGCTCGTCTGAATGCTCTTGGTCAGTTTTCCGACATCCCAATCAACTCTCGGTGGTCGCAATACGTCCACGTGGTCGAACATGGCGAGTTCCGGCCAGCTCTCCCTCAGCCCGACGACGGCAACTTCTCGACAGTTGCGCAGCCCCTCAAAGAGTCTTCTCTGGTGATCGTTGCAGGTAGGGCTGGCATTTTTTAACCAGAAACCGAAAATCGAACCGAACCGAACCGACGAGAAAATAAACCGAACCGTACCGAACCACTTGTAATCGGTTACCGAATTACTATCGGTTCGGTATCGGTTTTGAACCCATAAGGGTTCGGTAAAACCGATACCGAACCGATAAGGGTAAAAAAAATTAGAACAAGGATTTTTTTTTTGTAAATATTAAAACAAGGATTAATTGTTTAGTGTTTAAAAATTAAAATATAGACTCAACCGTACCTAAACCCCAAACTGACGAGAAAAATACCACTACTCATCTCCTCATTCACCTTCTCACCAGAACAAATGTCAGTTTGTCAGTCTCACTCCTTCTATGGAAGATGGTAATGTAACTGTAGTTTATCTCGTACCACTGTTACTAGATAAGTTAGTTGAAGTTGTATCATAAATTTTATTTTTTGGATGTTCAACAATAGATTATTTTATTAGTTGCGTTTAACACAAAAATCAGAATCTAACTATATTTAAACTAACTTCTATATATTAAATTTAACTCTTTAATCATTCATTGAATTTGTGAGTCTTTTGTGTATATTTAATTGCTAAGAAGTGAGAAAATTACCAAAATGACGAGAAAAGTAAACACTAGCATTTTTTTATTTTTTTTTGTGTGTTCAAAATTGGTTCGGTTTTTTTATATAAATCCGAAACTGAACTAACTTTTCGGTTACCGAATATTCGGTAACCGACTTTAATCGGTTCGGTATCAGCTTTGGATTTTGAGGTTACCGACATTATCGGTTCAGTATCGGTATACGCTTATCGGTTCGGTTACCGAACCGATACCACCTAGTGTTGGGAAGCGTACGAGTGAGAAAGGATAAACGAGACACTCTCTCGTAAAACACACAAAACTCACAATATCTTATTCAATCTCAAAATTCATCCCGTAACAATAAAGCAGGAGAGTCCTTTATATAAGATTCTCAAAACTAATAACCCTAACTTGGTAAACAAGAAAACCAAATAAATAAATATTCTCCTACCAACTAGAAATAAGGAAATAATAATAAAATACTATAATAAAAATACTACTACTAATAATGATAATAATAATAGTAATAATAATCATAATTATTATTCTGCACCATTCTCCCCTGGTGGAGCAGGATTCGCCCTCGAATCCGACCTGTTCCCGTTGGAGACGTCCCCATGACAGGAATAGCCCAACGTTTTCCCCGATCGAACAAGAAAGATGAAGGTTGCCCAACAACCCCGATGGGAAACATAAGCTTGAGCAAGTGTTTTATTGCTGCAAAGGTACATGTACACGCCTCCCTATGCATAACCCACACAGAGGAATTAACACCAAACATACTACATTGTTCACCGTGCTCAAATTCATAACTACGGCCAAGAATCTCGTTGTTGGGAGACTTCGCGATAGACAATCGAAAAATAGCCACCAGTTATTGAGCCTCGACTTTGGCTCCAAAAAACCATCTTTGGCCAAGATATTATGAAAATCGGGTCTGAACGGCTTTCCATTCGAAGGCTCAACCTCTGCGACGTCCCACGCGGAACTCATATCGCATAAATATGTCTTCATCACCGGAGGCTCTTCATAAAAAAATGGATGGACCATTGTACAATGGCCCGCTATCTTGCTCAAAAATCACACTCTGTTGCCACACATCTTGGTCGTCGTGCGCAACAACGAGCTTAATCTCGACGGGAGGAGGTGGCCACTCTCCGAAGGGATCCACCTACGAGATGGTCTCCTCGCCGTCTGCATCGCCGACCGGCGGTTGTGGAGATCGCCGACGGGGCACCCCGCCTAGAACACGTCCGTGAACTCCCCCGTGCACACCCCGGTCGCCGGCGGCACGGTTCATCTGCAAATCCCATACCACGTTGTTAAGCGTCAAACGCAAATCCTCGATCCCCGTTGAAAGATCTGCAAACCAATCCGTGAAACGCACGTCCAACTGTTCAAATCAATAGTCGATCTGTTGAAACCGATCGTTGAAGGCTGCATCCCGTCGTTTGTTTACGGCATCTTGTCGTCCCGGCGACATCGCGAATCGTACTGACTGCTGATACCAACTGATGTAGGAAGTGTATACTCTCTCGTAAAACACACAAAACTCATAATATCTTATTCAATCTCAAAATTCACCCCGTAACAATAAAGTAGGAGAGTCCTTGCTCTCAAAACTAATAACCCTAACTTGCTAAACAAGAAAATACCAAACAAATAAATATTCTCCTACGAACTAGAAATAAGGAAATAATAATAAAATACTATAATAAAAATACTACTACTAATAATAGTAATAATAATCATAATTATTGTCTGCGAACGCATAAGAAGGAGCAACAAACAAAATTCTTGAAATTACCATCTTAACCTTACTTTAGTTTCCTATGAAATTTGGGCCATTATGCATATTGGGCTACTGCCAATTCTTTCTTCTGGGCCTTGCAATTGGTCTATAAATAAATAATAAATAACTCATATCAAATTCATGCCCATTAATTCTAAATTCGTTCGGGTTGTCGTTGTTTTCAACTTCGATAATTATTTCAAACCTATTTCCTGTTAAAACTCAAAATAAAACATATTATCATAGGTTAATAAAATAATCAAAAAAAATTAATTATATATTAAACTACAACAAAACGGGCAAAAAAATCATTCAAAATGCAAGTAAAAATGACGTATGTCAACGTGCGTTTTTGGGGAATTACTATCATGTGTATGACTTACAAAATTTGTTTTTTATTTTATTTTAAAGATTACGTGCGTCTTTTTATGATTTAATAATGAGTTTTTGGCGCTTTAGCCCGTATAGCCCGAGGCCCTAGGGTTAGGGTTAGGTCTTTTTGTTAGTAGCACATTTAAAATAGGGCTTTTAAACCTGAACCGTTTAATCTGAAACTTGCTAGGGCTAGCTCGTTTAACATCTCTACATGAGATAGACAACCCCGTCTACCTCATAGTAGGGCCTGCATATGTAAGAAATTTAATAGGAATATATATAATTTTTAAGTGAAATTGAATAAATCTAAACATATAATTCCATCAATCACAAAATACGAATATTGTATTAATTAAACTGCAAATAAAACATACAAAAGTTCATACCCCAAGAAGCGCCTCATCATCACGATGATGTGTTTATCTCCTCCACGCCTCTACCCTTTTCACAAGAGTGTTGAGAATTTTTTTTTTTTTGTATGAGCCCCGAAAGAGAAAAACATATATATTACTATATCTTCTATTTTTTTTTAAATGTCATTTTGACTTTATCAATAATTAACTAAATAAATTACGTTTTGGATCTTTTGAAAAGATGAAGATTGAATATGAGAAGACGTAGTGTATTTATTAGCTAGATGAGGGTAATAATAGAAAAATATGTAATATGAGAAGACGTAGTGTATACATATTTTTCTATTATTACCCTCATCTAGCTAATAAATACACTACGTCTTCTCATATTCAATCTTCATCTTTTCTCAAAACATCTATATCTATCCTCATTAATGAAGGTTATTATTGGCAAAAAAGAATATTTTTAATTACTGTGCAACTTCTCAAAATGACACTTATTAAAAATAGGAGGGAGTAGTATTTATCAGAGACCTGTAACTCTAATCCTGCAGACATCCCTTATGTTATAACCTATCTTATGGCATAAGTCAAACATCACAAATTGAGTTTATAATATTAAAACATTAATATATAAATCATTAAACAAACGACTCAATTAAGTATATGTTCCATAATAACAGAAGAATATAAAAGATAATCTTACACGTTCCTCCTATATCATCATTTTATTCAACCTTATGACAAGATATTTATTCTAGTACTACTCTATTATCTTATATTAATTATACATAATGAGTAAATGAGGTTAATATTATCTCATATATAGCATGTGGTTCATGACTCTTCAGACAGAATAAAATCCACAAAACATGCTCTCATTGTGGGGGATACTCATAACATCACAAGGACATAAAGATGCCAAGATAATGGCATGTGCAATTTAGCAGAATTTCATGTTGGCCATTACTTAATTTATGTACCATCATGACTCCCCAAAAGAACTTTAAACTAAGAAAAGAAAACTTGGAATATTTATAGGAGTATAAGAACTTTGATGAGTACTTGACACAAGTATATGCTCTGATTGTATCCTAAATCCTTGTGCTTAAGTATGCATGCTATAAAGATGCTCCTAATCCAATTTTCAAGATTAGCTTGTATCTACCATTCAAGTGGGATATTCTCAATTGATCTTGACATTATTTAGATTAATTGTTAATCCAGAATCGTATGCTGTCAGAATTATTGTGCATTTTGAAGCTTTAACTTTAACACAATTTGCATTATTATTGCATATGAATAGCTTATATGGGGGCATAATTCAAAGTGAATTCTCCACTTTGTGCACTGTTTTGCATTATCATTACATAAGAATAGATGATATTATGCATGGGAGGTCGGTTTTCAATAACATGGATAGCATCGGCATAATTCATTAAATGTTCCAATTATATATTCGTTCTTTTCCCGTTGATAAAGAAGAAGATGAATTGTTGTTGTTTGATCAAATAATCTCCTAAAAACAAAAATGATGATTAAACTGTCGTTTTAAGCAAACTCTTACATCATACTCATCATGTGATAGTGAGTTATAATTTATAAATGAGCCAAGTCAAGCCGAGTACATTGTACTAAAAATCGGCCCACGCTGCGTTTAGGCGTTAGGCGTTGTTCAGCCGCCTCCAATTTGTATAAATCGTCTAAAAAATCGGCAGAAATTTTTTCATTTTTTTTTATTTTTTTATACTTATTACATTATTTTGTTATCATTTTTTTTATGATATATTAATATTTAAATAAATGATGAAAACTTTTAAATATTAATACTTTTATATATATTAATATTGCAAAATTTCATTTTAAAATATGAATAATGCGCTAATTTACATCACTACTTTATTAAAGAAACAAATCCAAGGACAAATCAGCAACCAAAGTGGGAGATTTCAGCTTTCCACGTTGATAACACATCAGTGATTTGATGTTGAAAAAAACAAAAAAAAAAATGATGTTCTTTGTAGTGACGAGGTTTTTTTTGTTTTCGGAACGATACAAATCACGGGATAGGAGAAGCCCAAAATAAAGTAAAAGAGATAAAATTTGTTCGAAATTGTTTATCTCGTGGATAGGAGACATGAAAAAGATGAAAAAAGTAATAATAGGAGACATGGAAAAGATGGAAAAAAATAATAATAGAAACGTGATACGTTTGGAATTATTATTTTTATTTAATTTTATTTATTGAATATAGTGATTTAATAATTAAAAAAAATTGATTGAGTAGAAATTCGAATTTCATCAGTGCTTGTCAAATAATAGAGTTAAAATGTAATTAAAATTGATTTAATGTAAAAATATTAAAATAATTATTATAAATAATTATTAATTAAAAATATTTAAGTCAAATAGTGATTTCTGTTGTAAAATGTATACTAATAATTGGTTGATGTTATTTGATCATATTAATAATATTAAAAAAATAAGTGTGTTAGATAAAGATTGAATTTTGAGATAAAAATTCATATCCAATAGTAGTTCCATTCAAAAGAATTATCCAAATCCAACGAATCAAAATTCAAATAAAAATCTTCTAAAANAAACAGAAGCACCTTATAGTACATCTTTCCAATCTTTCCAACTGGAATGAGCATAGGATAACAGAATGTGCTGTAAAGTATTGCACAATCACAATCAAATAAAATTCCTCCTCCCCTCCATAAATATTGTCCTCCATTAGTAAAAAAAGCACACTCACAAAATCATAGTGAAAAAAAAAGTAAAAAAATACCATTTTATTTTTTCATCATTCTTTTTAACTTATCCAAATGGTAAAATTTTCCAAGCAATTTGAGGGTCAGCTAGTACCTGAATGGAAAGAGGCCTTTGTAGACTATTGCCAACTCAAGAAAGATATCAAGAAAATAATTTTGCTTGACCACCAAAATACTTGCATTCATAGCAAGAAAAAAAACAACATTTCTTTCCCCAACACCCTCTTAACTTCCATAACAAAACACACTTTTCTTGGCCTTAAGATGAGAGAATCAAAAGTCATTCAAGTAAAATACTTTTACATTGTCACAACACAATACATTTGTTTTCTTATTTTTTATTTTTCTGGAAAAAATTACTCACAACTCTTTAATGTTTTAGGTTCATCGTAAAATTGCGGGCTCGACTAGCACGGGAGATTTGTATGAAACCGAGCTGCTCGAGCAGCTTTCGGATATAAATGGTGCGGTTGAGTTTTTCACGTGTTTAGATAATCAACTAAACAAAGTGAACACGTTTTATGTGAATAAAGAGAGAGAGTTTGTCGAGAGAGGGGAATCGTTGAAGAAACAAATGGAGATTCTAAACGAGCTTAAGGCGACTTTAAGGGAAAAACGCGCGAAAGGACAGACTTCAAACGAGTCAAAAGAGGAAGACTCGATATCGGGCACTATATCATGTGGTATGAGGCTAAGTTTGATAGTTTTCCTCTGTTTTTTCCTCTGTTTTATGCATGAATTAGATGTGCATGCGTGTTTTTTTAAGTAAAATTGTCGTTTATAGTATTTAAACGGGTTTTTCTAGTGATCAATTTCTTGATTTACGTACGTTCATCTCTACCGTAAAATAAAGATGGACGAGAATGCAAAATTTTAGTAAGAGGATTCGCCTAATATTGTCTTGATCCTTCGCATGCGTTTCTTTTTTGGACTAGTTTTTTTTCGACTATTCTTTTTCTCTCTTTGCTCACAGACGATGAGTCCACTAAAAATACACAGAATAATACAGAAGAGAGCTTAACCGAAGAAACTTCAGATCAATCTCCAAAATCCGGTGAACTTACAATGAGAAAGAATAAAGAGGAAAGGAAGCTTAAGTCGATTTCTAGCCGAACAATTAATTTCCAAGGCAAAAATCTAAGAATTCGCATTCCCGTTACGAATCCAACTCGCACGTTTTCAGCAATAACTTACTTATTTTGGGATGATTTGGCGAACCAATCTTCCAAGAAAAGTGGCGTGGAAGGAAATAATAAGCTGCACGTTAACAAGAAAAAGCTCCATCATGCGGAGAAAATGATAAGGGGTGCATTTATCGAGCTTTATAAAGGATTAGGCTACCTCAAAACTTATAGGTAATGTATGAGTGTGTGTGTATCTAAAGATTTTTCTTTTTGCTTCTTTGAATTTAAATGCTAACATGAAAACAATAATCGAAATAATTATTGTCTCGTAAATTTTCTTATTAGGAACTTGAACGTGCTCGCTTTTGTCAAGATTCTGAAGAAGTTTGACAAAGTATGCATATGTTTGTCGCTTTCTTTTATTCGCTATTTTAAACACTACATTATTAGATGTGTCCATCCTTAAAAAGGTGAAATTAATGTGAACTCTCAGGTGACAAATAAACAAGTTCTTCCTATTTATTTGAGAGTGGTTGAGGGCTCATACTTCAACAGCTCAGACAAGGTAAAACTCGAAAGGTCAAAAAAAGTTAATGTTTTTTTTTTTTTTTTAAATAAAAATTGGAACATAATCCAAAAGATATTACAAAAAATTGTGTCCCAGGCTGTGAAATTAGCAGATGAAGTTGAGGAACTTTTTGTGAAGCATTTTGCGGACGATGACAAAAGAAAAGCCATGAAATACCTTAAACCAACTCACCGAAAAGAATCACATGCTGTCACATTTTTCATTGGTGAGGTTTCATATTATATGATACCCTCCAGTATTTAAATCATTTATTATTTATCATAAGTAAAATCAGCAATATTTAACTGATTGATCATCTTTCATTTTCAACGGTCAGGATTGTCGGCCGGGTGTTTTCTTGCGCTTTTCATTGGATATATTATCATAGCTCATATCACAGGAATGTACAGAATAACTCATTCAGACACAATATACATGGAAACAGTTTACCCTATCCTAAGGCAAGTCCTATTAATACTTTTGTTACATTAAATTATCATAATTCAACTAGAAGTAACTAAATTCTAACTTCTTAATTTTTTTTTCCATTTTCTTTTTTTGCAGCATGTTTAGTCTACTGTTTCTACATTTCTTCTTATACGGGTGCAACATTTTCATGTGGAGAAAAGCTCATATAAATTATGGATTCATATTCGAACTCTCCCTAACAAGAGAACTTAAGTACAGAGACGTGTTCTTAATCTGCGCAACATCAATGACAGCTGTAATTGGCGTTTTGTTCGTTCATCTTTTTCTCGTGGCAAAAGGGCATCCGTATGCTCAAGTCCAGGCTGTTCCGGGCTTTCTTCTATTGGTAATTCTCAATTTCATTTAATTTTTTTCACCACAAATTTTACGATAATTTAGCAGTGAAGCTTCATATTTCAGCTAGATTCAACAGACGGGTTGGCTGATTTATTGTTTAGCTGTTTTCTAGTCTGTATTTATGTGTTTATTCGTTTTCAGAATTCTNCGAAGCTTCATATTTTTAGTATATTTGCAGATTTTCATTATAGTTCTGGTGTGTCCATTCAACTTCATCTACAAATCGAGCCGTTATAGTCTGCTTTCCGTAATCAGAAAAATCGTCTTATCGCCTCTTTACAAAGTTGCGATGCTCGATTTTTTCATGGCCGATCAACTTTGTAGCCAGGTGTGTACTTATCTATCTATCTATCTATCTACACGCGCTTAAATTTGATTTTGTGTGTAATCAAATTAATCTAAAAAACCGTGCTATATATATACGTGTTAATTAATTAAGCAGGTCCCCATGCTAAGAAACCTGGAGTACGTAGCGTGCTATTACATAACCGGAAGCTACAAAACTCGAGACTACAATTACTGCATGAAAACTGCTTACTATAGAAATCTAGCTTATGCAGTCTCTTTTCTACCTTATTATTGGAGAGCCATGCAGGTATATATATAATATAATGCTAGTTCTTCAATCTTTTTTACCTTATTATTGCACGTAAAATAAGATTTTCGGGCTAATTGCAATCTTTTTCTCTTGTTTTTTCATTAGTGTGCTCGACGGTGGTTTGATGAAGGACAAAAGAGCCACCTTCTAAACCTAGGGAAATATGTATCTGCAATGTTGGCTGCAGGGGCGAAATTGGCATACGAAAAGGATAAAAATGTCCGGTGGCTTTTCATGGTCGTGATTATGTCAACTGCCTCAACCGTTTATCAACTGTATTGGGATTTCGTTAAGGATTGGGGTTTGCTTCGATTTGGCTCGAAAAATCCGTGGCTTAGAGACGAATTAATGCTTCGTAACAAATTGGTGTACTATTTTTCTTTGGTAAATGATCGATTTTTTTATTTCATTTTTTTTTGGCACAATCTGCATGAAAAACTTTTCGTTAGCGAACGATTTTTTTTTATAAGACCGTTTGTTATGTCTTTAATGTAGGGATTGAATCTTGTTCTTCGGTTAGCTTGGCTGCAGACAGTTTTTCACTACAATTTTGAGAAAGTAGATTACAGAGTTACCATGCTGTTTTTAGCAGCTCTTGAGGTTGCCAGAAGAGGGGTGTGGAACTTTTATAGGTAAATTTCAACTGTTGAAGGACTTAGCTGCAAAATTTTATCCCTCATGTACGTAAGGAACTGGGGAGAAATTTTTGGTTTTTTACTCATTAAACTCTCACATGTAGTAATAACTTAATTAATTAATCCCCTGAATATTGACTTTCATTTATAGATTTTCCAGTTTCTTCTAATGTGTGCATAACTCATGCAAAAACGTTGAAGTTATTATTGGGACCTAAATGGAAAAAGGAAAAATTGCAGGGTCAAAATTGCATTATCTTTATAGGTCCAAGTGTTGTGATTCATACTCAAGTGGCTTTTGCACTGAATTATTGATTTTTTTTTTAATTTTTTTTTTTCTTTCAGGTTGGAGAATGAGCATTTAAATAATACAGGCAAATATAGAGCTGTGAAGATAGTGCCACTTCCATTTCATGAGGTGGATGACCAAGATTATGATCATCAATCAATTTGTCAAAGTTGCTAAAAGAGAAGATTTATTTAGCAAATGATGATCAAGATGTAAAGCTACATATTGTTTCTTTATAAATATTATTCCCCACTTTTTTTTAGTACTTTTCTTGTAGGTTCATAAATAATACAAGAAGTTACACTTGTACACATAAATTAAATTTGTAACCCATGTTAATGAAGTTAATAAGTAGTTTTACATTTATTTGACACAAAAATGTCACCCTATCATATGTTGCTGACATTTTTTTTTTTTTCCCCCTATTTCCCAGCTTTATATGAATGCTCTAACGGCAGTGGTCATTTGCTTAGACAAACATATACATTAACATGCACAATGCATAACAATAAGACATATAATATTTATGCATAATAATTACACGAATATAACATTTATATACATGTGCATATCTTTTTTTAATAAGAGGTCTATCTTAAAATAACATATTAACATAAGTAAAGTATTACATTTCATAATATAAGAATATATATATATATATATAGGATGAGGTTCAAATGAAAACCAAGTGCTAGTGTGAGAACCGTGAGAACTGCTATTTTTAATTGTACGTAGTGCTATGATGATTGTGTTTTGATGCTATTTTTAATTAGATGTATTTGACCAAAAATAGCAACACAATGTATATTAGCATTTGTGAAAATAATAGCACAATGTAATATTAAAAATAGCATCATGTATAATTAAAAATAACATCAAATACGGTTCTCACACCAAAACTAGTTTTTATTTGAACCAGTCCCTATATATATATATATATATATATTTATATATGAAGTTAAATAGCACAGTGAGTCGTTTGCCTAATAGTTAGGCCATCCATTGGTCTCAAAGTTTGAGTGTGATCATCCCTTCTAAATCTACCAATGATTCTCAAACCCTAAACTCAATTATAAAATCAATCAAGAATCGATTCAATTGGCGAATCAGTACTAGTCTTAAATAGTTAATTTTTTTTTTTTGTGTAATATGTCAAAATTATACATAATTTGTATAAATAATGTGTTGTTATACGCTTAATTTTATCATAATTTTATTTATTTCTTTATTATTTTAGTGGATTTTTATACTTTAATTAATAATTTTATGCTCTATCAAATAAAATCATCTAAAAATATTACTTTTAATCAATAATATTTTTATTTTATTTTATCTTTAACTTTTTGATGTGATATATTGAAAAATATGCATGGTTTTATTATATTGTATTATAGCACACTTTATTTTATATATTTTTTTACTTATATATTATTTGATACTCATATCTTATAGTAATATTTTTCAGGCTTCACAACGTCATCAAATACCGAAACTTTAATATCAACCCAATTAACTATATGTATATCAGATATACATTATTATATACTTATAGCATTTCTCTACCTATAAGCCAAAATCAGAAAAGATACAAATAAAACGCCCGTCTTGAACAAACGGAGGATAATTTTTGCCCTAATTACTTCTCCCCCACCAAACCAGCTGACACCAATTTCTGCAATCGTCTTCATAATTCATCCGATACCGGTGCAATTCGAGCTCAAATCGAAGCGCACGGGCGGGTACTGCAAGGATTCAGCTTAAAATTGGGTGCTTGGCAAAATTGACGGATTCGAAGCGATATCTCGTCTTGGTCGTTTTTCGGGTATATTTACAGATTTAGTGATTTTTTATTTGTCTGCACTGTCCATTTATGAGATCTATAGCGTGTTGGTGAGAAAATATTGAGAAGAAAATGATTCCGTGTAAAGACTCGGAATATGTGCGGTTTGCGAATCTTCTATTCGAGAACATGTTAAGGTTTTGGGATGTTCTATTGGGTTTATCAGGGAACAAATTTATGGTGAGGGAGTGATTAGGAATTGACAAGGGATGCGTAGAAGGGACTGCTAATGGATTTCTCCTGGGGTTTAACCCGAAATCCTATTTATTTGTATTGTCTGTTGTGTATATTCTACGATGGTCTGAATTTGTGATCTTTGGTACTCGTGTTTCATAGGTATGCATTTTGCAATCTCTTATTTCAGCTTATCATATTCCATGTAACATTGGTTTCTCTAATTTTAAGTGTCTTCTGTATTGACAAATCTATTAACTTGATGTCTTGACTCTTCATGTCATTTCGGTACCAGGAAAGAGTTTCACTCATATTGCTTCTACAACTTTTCAACAAATAGAAAGAGCTTCGCTGGGATAAAATCAACTCTTCGTGGTAGCCATGGACCATGGACGCTATCATCAAGGATGGGATAATAACAGCGTAATTGTGGTTTATTTTCATCACATATATGGGATGATTTAGCCAGAAATTAGGCTCATGTGATTGTCCATTTTTTTCCGGCATCTCTTCGTTAAAGACATGAGAGAAGCCATGGGACAGTGAGGAGTTGGAATCGTTTGCCTACCTTTACCGTGATTATTACTTGCTGACTCTGCTTATTCTCTTGAATCCACAGGCATTGGAAGGGTATGGTGCAGGTCATGATTCAAACTTTCGGTGAGTGCATGGTGATGCTCACTACCAAGGGAGTAATTTGGTTTTATGTGCATAACTTTATGGATCTGAGATGTGGATTTGCTATGTACTTGTCAATTATTTCTGATTGTTTATGTTGAGTATATCAAATTTGTTGGTATATTTTTTTCTCCACATGCATGCTATACATGGTAGTGGCGTTTATACTGCAGAAACTGTAGTAGTTACGCATAATGGCAATGGTTATATCTGTTCCTTTCATTCCTTTCTATCGGCCCTTTGCCTAATCTTGTCTTGGCAGGGATAGTGGATCCTATGATGATAGGAGGTTTATGGATGAAAGATTCTCGAGGGATAGTATCCATCCTAGGGGATTGCTCCATAGAAATGCATTGGAGAGAAATAACTATCCTCCACCGCCATCATCAGTTGGAATGTGGCCTCAAGCACGGAGGCGTGGATATGAAGAAGAGTATCCATTCGAGAGGGATTACAGACGGCATGAGAAGCCGTACGCAGTTTAATAATACGCAGTTCTTTTGTTTTGATTACGCTGATAAATATACATGATTTACACATTTGGGGATATCGTAAATTATCATCATGCAGACCTTCTAGATATGGAGGGCGGGATCGGGAGGGTTATGGTGATGATGATTATGACTATCGACCTCGTTCTGCTAGGGAGGAAAGCCGTGAAAGGGAATATGATTACGGAAGGAATAGTTATGATTCGGATTACGAGAGAGGTTCGAGGAGGGACGGTAACTGGAGAAGGCGTGAATCTCGGGACCGTGAATGGGACAAGAGGGGCCCTAGTCGGGAAAGGGAAGAAAGCTCCTATAGAAGGCGTGAGCACTCTCCTTCACACTCCCGCTCTCATTCTCGTGGCCGTGATGATCGAATGAGGTCAAAATCTCCTCGGGGAAGGAGTCATGGCCGAAATCATAGGGAAGAGAGTTACGAAGACAGCCGCTATGATAGAAGTGATAGAAGAAGAGATCGTGAGGATAGCCGTCATCATGACCATTATTCTGTTGTATGCGGCATTTATTTTGCTTGTCTCTCTTTTGGTTTTTTTGCCATGCTTGATAAAATGTTGACTGAGCAGATGCTGTTGTTTCTCTATAGGCTCCCTCTGCTACTGTCGTGGTAAAGGGCCTCTCGCAAAAGACAACTGAAGAAGATTTGTACCAGATTCTTGTAATCTTCGTTTTAAGCATATCCATCTTTTCCATATTATTTGCTCTAATCACCATTGTTGCTTTGGTTTTCATGTGCGCATTTATTGCTCTATGTCAGGCTGAATGGGGACCTCTTCGCCATGTTCGTGTGATTAAAGAGCGAAATTCTGGGGTTTCCCGAGGGTTTGCTTTCGTTGATTTCCCTTCTGTGGTACGAAATCTGATTTTCAGTCATACTATTTGATTTCTCTGATAGTTTCTACTGAAAATAGATTTGCTCATACAAAACAGGATGCGGCTCAAGCAATGATGGATAGGTTTGGGCATGAGGGGCTCCTTGTGGATGATCGGAAGCTTTTTTTTGAATACAGGTAATATATACATAGTTTTTGCTGCTGGTTGAGTGAAATCTTTTGCGAACATGATCATTGTAAATTTTGGTTTTTGCCACAGTAGTAAACCGACTGGTGGAGGAGATGGCGGATCCCTTGGAATTAATACCTCTTCAAGATCAGGCCATAGTAGCCATAGAAGTATCATGGTACCTTCTGATTGGATGTGCATCATATGTGGCTGTGTCAATTTTGCAAGGAGAACATCATGTTTTCAGGTTCGTAGGTTAAGGCTATGATTGGATATTAGGCATTTTCATCTCACTGGAGATTTTTATTTATTTTTTCCTTAAAAAGTATACTATCCACTCATCTCAAGTTTTACCATGTCAAGATAATCATTTGAAATAAAAATTTTCCAACATATCCAATAGCACTTAGTATTTACTGCCATTGGATATATTTTCAGTATTCCACTATTGGAAAATTGAAATTGGATATATTTTCAATATATCCAATATCCAACTTAGAAATGAAATTGCAGTAAGAATTTTCCAACAAAATTATCTTCCATATATCCAATAAAAAATATTGCAACAAAATTATTTTGGCAAGAATCTTTTCTCTGGCTTGTTAGACTTTTCGAGAAATATTTTTTAGATTAATTTTTCAAATTACAATGTGATGGGTTGTAGTGTCTATTTTATGATTAGGCACTCCTGCCAAAACCACGTATCATTGTCTCTAATAGAACTTACTTTTTATTCTAAATTTGAGTCTATTTCCATCTGTTCAATTAGTGTAATGAGCCGAAAACAGAAGATGCTCCATCGGCTGATATGATATCAAATCCCATTCCTATTGGCAAGAGAGGAGAAGCAGGTTAGTTTTCTTGCATGAGTTATATCAGCTGGAACCACTTTTCTGTATAGAGGATTTTTAACTGGATATGTTTCAGGTCCAACCCATGTTCTTGTTGTTCGTGGACTGGATGAGAATGCTGATGAGGAAATGCTTCGTTATGAATTTTCTAAGCATGCTCCTATTAAGGTCTGAAAGTTTTCTTTTCCAACATGGTCATTTTTTATGCTTCTATTCATGATTTATTAATCTTTTAAAATCTTACAGGATCTGCGACTTGTCAGAGACAAATTCACACACGTCTCAAGAGGATTTGCATTCGTGCATTTCTATACAGTAAGTTTAAAACCACTTGCCTGTTCATTCTTGATGACGTAGAGGTTTCCTAATTGTGTTATACTAAATTTTGAAGATGATTTTTGGAACATTCTTTTGTCTAATGAAAATTGAAATATTTCGGAATATTGGAAGAATGACACAAGACTGCATTTCCTGTTCTCCCTGAGTGAGTGAATCCGTGATATGATGTTAGTATGACTTCGTTGTGACACTTTTTGTCTCTAGGACATATTTAATTTGTCAAGAAATCGTGTTGTTTATGTTTATACTCCAACCTTCAGGTTGGTGATGCCACTAAGGCACTTGAATCAACAAATGGTACTGCTCTGGAGAAAAATGGTCAGATTCTTCGGGTTGCCTATGCAAAAAGTATTATTGGACCTGGTCCTGCAGCTTCTTCAGCTCCGCAGTCAAGCAGTCTTGCTGCTGCTGCAATTGAGGCAGCGACATTTGCTCAGCAGGTTTGTTTGTTTTCTGTCCTTTCGGTAACTGTGACGGTGCTCATTGATTAATGTTCCATTTGTGACCGACGTTTCTATTTTGACTTTCTATATGAGCAACTGAAAGTTACTTGCCAGAGTTCATTTGCCAAGAATTCAATTTCTGTGTGTGTGTTGCATGTTTTCCATGAATAGTATTACTGAAGTAAGTCGAATTAGAGGAGTTGTGTTTGACTTTGTAAATGTGTACACCACCTACAATGTCGTTGCTGTCAACAGATTCCGGTTCTCATATTTCCTGTCTGTTGGTTAAATTTTATCCTTTGTATTATACGGAAGACATGTTCTCTGTCAGACTTCAGTGTGATTTTTATTCACTAGCTTTATACCGTTTTAGGTATATGGAGTTATTACCCTAACGAGAGGGTTTATTTGGATTTTTTAGAAAGAGCAGCTGTATACTTGTGTTCATTGCCTTGCATTCACTATTTTTTGTTGGTTCTATTCGATCTGATGCAAGTGGATGCATCGTGATCATGCCAATTTATGAATACCTAGCATGATTGTCACTTCTCTCATTCATGATTAAACAATGTTTCTGTATATATTTTTTTAGTATGATGCAGTTGGTTGGGCACCAAAGGAATACAATCCAGAGGATAACACTTCTGGTGCTGGTCAACAGCAAGCAGGACAAATTGAGGGCCAAGGAGATCATTCTGCTCCCCAATCTGGTTTCGTGTGGGATGAAGCTTCTGGTTATTATTATGATGCCGCCTCTGGATTCTACTACGACGGAAATACAGGTTCCCCTTTTTTTTTTTAATTATTATAGTTCTTATTATTTATATCTGCGTGCCTTCAATTTGTTCACGTGTTTAGTTAATACCTTAATTAGTGAAGTCCTGTAATTTAAAAGCCGTGAAAGACTTTTTCCTGACCAAAGCTGATGAAAACGGTCATTTTCTGATATCTGCTTCTCTGCAGGTCTATATTATGATGGCAATAACGGCTTATGGTATTCTTTTGATCAACAAACTCAACAGTACATCCCTTGCACCGATCAGAACAACAAGACAGCAGAAAAACAAATTGAAACCTCCAAAGCAACAAATGGTTCTAATAACAAAAAGGTTGTTATATCTGCCCCAGCCGCCACAGTGACATCTCAAGAGAAGGCCAACGCCTCATTGCCGGATGCTGTCCAGGCTGCCGCTGCTGCCGCCATAGCTGCTGAGAAGAAAGAGAAGGAAAAAATGAAAGAAATCAAACTTGCCTCGAAAAGCAGCATCCTGGCCAACAAGAAGAAAATGAATAATGTCTTGACCATGTGGAAGCAAAGGAGTCATGAGGGTCAGGCGCCGCGTGTGGCTATCGAGAATAACAGCCAAGCCTCGGCTCCCAGCAAGTTGAAAAATGAAGGCCCGATAATAACTAAAGATAATGTTAATGCTTCTCATAATGTGGGCTTGGAATCCCAAGACAGGGCAAGGCCCGTTATTTCGAGTTCTGGTGGAGGTTTGAAAGGAGTCATTAGGAGTTCTGGACTGGGAGTCGTGAAGTCAAATACTGTTTATACTGGGCAAGGGGAGAATAATACTGTTGAATCTTTTTCCTCGACATCCTCAGAAGCTTCTGCTACAGTAACACCTTTCCGAACAGATGCATCTGCTTTGGGTTTGTATTCGTCACCGGTTGCTGCAGGAAGTGGTAAAAGAAGGTTTTCAGAGTTGCCGGCAGCATCAGTTACAAATAGGGAACAGTCCCAAATTACGTACAGGGATCGTGCAGCGGAGAGGAGGAGCCTGTATGGTTCTTCGTCTTTTGGGGATGACTTGTCCAGTGCTGGAGGTGGAGATCCAAGTAAGCTTTCTGATATTGCATGCCACCTTATCTTTTTAGTGTGTGTGTGTGTGTGTGTACTTGGGGTGATTACAATACCACTCAGACTTTTTTGTCGAATTACCCAAAAGAGAAAAAATAATTGAAATTAATGAGATCACGTGCAAGGATTGGTCCAGCTGTTTGTTGGGCCAGTGTAATTCGACGGTGTCATAAAATATTTTACAGTTCACCACACAATTATCTTAAATTATACAAGGTGTCTCAACACCTTGATAGTAGTTGGAAAATTAGACTTATTTATTATATCTACTAGGAATGTAAAAGTATTTGAGGACGTTATTATTCTACATTTAGTCGTCCTTTTTTTCCCTGTGACGGTACTGTTCTGAGATTTGAGGGGATTAGATTACTTTGTGTGATAGACAGTTGTGACAAAGATTTCGATTCCAAATGGTCAAAAATTGTCGAGTATTTTTTCCTACGGACTTCGTATTGACTCTCTAGAAAAAAATTGTTACTTGTGGCTGGACTTCTCCAAGATCGAGATTCGACATATAGAAGGGGTGTTATGGACTCCATGCCTTTCCCTCCCGGTGTAGGCGGTGGACGAGCAACTGTTGGGGATGCCGTTGCTAGTCAGAGTTATGATGTTATAACGGCGGATAAAGCTCTTGACGAGAACAATGTGGGCAACCGTATGCTGCGGAATATGGGCTGGCATGAAGGCTCGGTACCACTCCTAAAACCCTACACTTGCAATCATGAACTTTAGATAATGTTTTGTCAAAGATTCCTTAAAATACACAAACTGTAGATTATTAGATCTTATTTTTTAAGTTGAGTCGTGAAAGCTTTCGGATTTTTGGAGCACTGCTGAACTTTATGTTGATTATGGGAATTTCATAATTAAAATCGACAAATTTAAATGGGTTGATTAATCAAATGACCTCCTAATAGCAATTTTAAGATTGTATGAACAGTTTTATGATGAAGTTCACCAAACAAATATTGTAAGCTCACTCAGTTTTATGATGGTATTTTAACCAAGTTAATGGTTATTTTATACTTCTGTGAGGGCACAGTAGTCTTTCTACCAAAGACAGGATAATTCTTTGATTTATTATAATTTGGAGGCCGAACTACCATATAGCTGAAGTTGAGACACATGGTTCGAAAAAACAGTATTTTTTGTGTACTTTTGTTCTGACTTTGTCTGGGTTGGTGCTCTTTCGTTGTTTTTGTGCATTGATTGATTGAGCAGGGGCTGGGAAAAGATGGGAGTGGTATGGTAGAACCAGTCCAGGCCAAAGCTGTAGAAACTAGAGCTGGGCTAGGGATACATCAGCCCAAGAAAGTTGACCCGACACTCGAAGTCCATGCTGGAGATAGCTACAAAGCTGTTATCCAGAAAAAGGCAATTGCCCGTTTTCGAGAGATGTCATCCTAATAAGGCGAGTGAAAGAAATTGGGAATAATTGAAAAGGAAGCATTTAATCTGAGTTTTT